TTACATCTTCTGTATTAAGTATCTCATATTACCAACCCCCTTTAAAAACAAGAGTGAATGAGAAAAGACCATTTAATTGATTCTAACAGTCTTAGGACAAGGTGGCCTGCCTACACTAGGATGGGGAGACTAAAGGTAGAGAGAAATCGAAAGGGCTTAGCCTCAGTAAGTTGTTGATAGAGCCATTTAATGAAATTGTACAGTGAAGAAGGTCTAGGTTTGGAGCCAAGATCAAGAGGTCAGTCTGGGCAACTCAATTCAAAGTACCTCTGAGATGGGGCGCCTGGGTGGCTCAGTGGGTTGGGCCTCTGACTTCCGCTCAGGTCATGATCTCACAGTTTGTGGGTTCGAGCCCCGCGTTGGACTCTGTGCTGACAGCTAGCTCAGAGCCTGGAGCCTGTCTTCGGATTCTGTGTCTCCCTCTCTTTCTGTCCCTCTCCTGCTCACGCTGTCTCTCTCTCTCTCTCTCTCTCAAAAATAAATAAAACATAAAAAAATTCAAAGTACCTCTGAGAGTGGTTAAGTGGAGACATTGAATAGGCAGCCGGGATCAGAAAATAAGTTTGAACTACAGACAAAAATTTGGGAGTGTTCAAAATATATACAGTAACTGAAGCCACAGAATGGATTAGATTAGAGGATCAAGATTTGAGAGACACCACAATTAAAGATCTGGTAAAAGAGGATGGGGGGGGGCGGAACCTGAATAGCCCGAGAGCAAGGAGGGAAAATTAGAACCCAGGAGAAAAGAGTACTTCAGGAAGGACGTTTCTAAATCCAAATAAACACCTATTCTGAAATGGGCAATTAGGAATCTGACGTCCAAGAACGAGTCAAAGGGAATTAACTTCTTAAAAATAGAAGTCCAGATCTACGTATTCTGAACATTCCCAAAAGGAATGTTATTACGATGTTAAGTAATAATAAATTCAGTCAAAACGGATATATCATACAAAGATGTAGGTGAAAACAATCTTTGTAACTAGCTTTGTAAGCTTGAATAGAGTTTAGAGATTTGAGGGTAATGAGGATATGTTAAGTTTATTTCATTTCTATAGAAGAAAAAAATTAAAAACTTACTCCAAAATCCTATGCATTTCTTTTGTCTCAAAGATTTTAGATAATTTCCAAATTGCTAAACCTTTCAGTACGTTAAACTCAAAATGCTCAAAATGTAAACATTTGGAGAGCAAAACCCACACAGTATTTACCTTCAGCACCTACTTCAGTGCCTAACATAAATACCTGAATGAAAAAAAAAAAGTTCATTAAATGAATGAGTGGCCACTTCTGTCCAAATTGTGCTGGTGCTTCATGCAATGCAGTTTCAAAAAAATAAGCTTTAACTGAGGGATCTACTCATTCCACACAACACTTCTTTTCTTCAGAAATAAAATGCTGTCTGCAAAGAGATCTCATCCTTGTCTTGGGGGGAAAGAACCCTCTTTGGGCAACACATTACACATACAGGTCTAAATATCAAACTTGAGGGCTGTCAACTCCTGCGGTGTTTGCAAAACTCAAGAATGTACTACCACCATATGCCAGCCAGTACTGCCTATCTGGTCATTCATTCTAAGAGCTGTAGAAAACAGCAATGCTCAGACTTACAATAGATCCTTACTTCCACAAAAACTAAACTCCTCAGTTGCAGTAGTATGTCTAAAAACTGTTGGCACTTAGCTTATATTGACAGTTCAGAAGTGTTTTTGGAGTGTTAAGTTTCAGGTTAACGATATTAGCTTATATGTATTCTCAAAGAAATGGTCTACAAAAAAAATGTAATCCCATTTTTCTTTGCCTAAATTTTTAAAATTTTTAACATGTTTATTTACTTTTGACAGAGTCAGGTGAGAATGAGCGTCAGGAGGAGAGGGGAAGAGAGAGAGGGAGACACAGAACCCGAAGCAGGCTCCAGGCTCGGAGCTGTCAGCACAGATCCCAACGTGGGGCTCAAACCCATGAACTGTGAGATTATAACCTGAGCCAAAGTAGGACACTCAAAACAACTGAGCCATCCAGGAGCCCCTCTTTGCCTAAATTACTATCAGATAGATATTTCTGACAGGAACCACACATTTCTATGCTACAAGAAAACCATCAATTAATAAAAATAAATACATTTGCAAGTTAAAAAAGAAAGCACCCATTCAGAAATAAGTGTACTCCCAGTGGCACTAACTATTCAAACTAATAATAATTTTAAAAAGGGGGGAACACCTCTTATTTATTTTGAAATGTGAACAAACTTCAAATCAAAAATCCCAGCTTTTTGGAACTCATCTCTTTGTATTGAATTAGGCATGGAACAAACGATGCATTTATTAAAAGAATGATACTCTGGATTTTAATGGTGTATTTTGTATTCTAGGATCCTAATTACTGAGCTGACAGGGGAGCCTGGAGCTAAAGAGGGTGTGTGGCAAATCAGAGGCAGACCCTCTAACCCTTCCCTTTAGCTAATTTATACAAATAATTAAAAGAAGAACAAAAAAAATCATTAAGGGAGAACAGTATTTAAGTCAAATTGTTATGATGAAGATATGCTAACTTCTTAAACCCTTTGGACTGAAGGCTAAAAGTCAATTCTACCTTCGCGAACTGAACAGAAAGGTACTGGGTCCTCTGCTCCTTTTTCAGAGAACTGTGGTCTAGCACAGGTGGAAAAATCAATTCTGAAGTCACACATCTAAAGAAGCTAAAAACGTTGACTTTTAGAAAGGATGTTTGTGATGCTTTGGAAAACAGCAGAACAGTTTAAGACAAGTAGTATATCATATTAAACCACTACAAATCAGGACAAATGAAAAAGAGAGAACTTCCATATAGCTCCTATGTATTCTCTTCAAAACGTCCTTTGCTTACAACAGTCTGCTCAGAAAGATCTGGCCAACACAAAGATGCAGATTTGTTTACCACAGCTTATTACATTTTACCCAGAAGAGTCAGTTCATGTTTCTTTAATTCTCCCATTATACAGCACTTAGGAAACCTAAAGCAACTGTAATATACTATGCTAAATTCCAAAAAATAAAACCAACAAAACTCCAGGAAATGTAACCACAATTCACGGTGTATTCAGTCAGGAGCTCTAAAATTGAATTTATTTTTCTGCATTCTTTTTCAAAAATGTTTTATTTACTTATTTTTAATTTTTCTGCATTCTTAATCTAAATAATACCTAAACTCTCTTTAGGGGGTAAAGGATTTGATCCCTAAAATACCCGATTAGTCCCCTTTTCTACAGATATGTGATGCATTGGAGATACACTATTCTCCATTTATTAGGAATTAAAATCCCTTTCATTTATACAGCTCGACTTTTATAGCGCTTTCACATATACTCACTTGAAAGTATACACAACACGAACGTATAATAATTTTAGACTACTCGAGCACAAGATAACGCTAATCCAGAACTTATTCTAACTCGATTCCACAAATTACAGCCTTCAGGCTAACAAAATAAAGTGGGAGCACAATGAAATCTGTACCACCGCAGGTTCTCAATCAACAAATACTCCTTCAAAAGATAATCCAAACTCGCCCGTTTCGCAAAGAAAAAGTAATCCCACTCTTTGAAACAATCGCAGGGGAAGGGGGAGAAAAACGCAAATTCTAAACCACACATTCAAGTAAATCCTTTCAACTCAAAGCTCCAAACGCAGCCACCAACCAACCACACAATTGGCCACAATCACAGCTTTAGCGCCTTCTCTTAATTTTGAATCTGGAGATCGAAGGGAAAACAAAACAGTCGTCCAAACTTGCTCGAAGTGGACAACAATCATTTTAAGCAAAGGAAACACGTTAATCAAGGGGCGACCGAGCCATTTCCCCCCGCCCCCCGTTTCCCTCCTTCCAGCCCTCGAACTAAATCCTGTCTGAAACACTCACTGATGGGAAGCAGGAGTCCCGGCAGCGGTGTTAGCGGAAAGAGTCAAACGAACCGCACGCCGCCCGGGGAGATGTCAGGCACCGAGCGTCGGGAGACAAAGACCAGCCCGCGGAGCGTCCGGGCGGCGAGGGGCGGCCCCGGCGCGGCCCTGCGCCCCTAACCGCCCCGAGGAGTTGCGAGCACCGCCGAGCGCCGCCCAAGTGCGCGCCCGGGGTCCTCCGGGCTCCCAGCCCGCCCGACGCGGCCGCCGCCGCCCAGACCCATCCCCGGGCAGTTTCCCTCCCAATTTGGGAACCGCGCGCCCAGGGACAAAGAGGGAGGGCGCGACGGGGGCAGCGGCGGGCGCGGGGCGGCCGCCCCTCCGGGATCGGCGGGAAGTCTTGGCACCACCCTCTCCCGCCGCCCCCCACCCGCCGCGCTCTTCCCGGGACCCCTGTCCCCCGCGTCCCCCCGCCCCTTCTCCGGCCTCCCCGTAAGTTCTCCCGCCCTCCCCGGGCCCCGCCCCTTGCCCGCTTCTCAGCCGGCCCTGCGGCTGCCCCTCACCGGGCGGCGTGTTCCTCCGGGGCCGCCTCCTCCGCCGGGCCTCGGCCCGTCCCGCCGGCCGCCGCCTCATGTGCCCCGCGTCGCCATCGTCTTCGCCGCCACCCGCGCCTCTCCTCCAACTCTCGCCGCCGCCGCTGCCGCCGCCCTCGCCCTCGCCTCTGTCTCCAGCCGAGGCCGAACCCGCTCCCGCCGCCGCCGCCCGGACCCGCGGGGAGGCGCCTGCGCACTACGCGCCGCGGTGGGGGCGGGGGCGTCCCGCCGGCCTGGGAGCAGGGGGCGCGCGGCACGTGGCGCTCGGGTGGGAGGGGGCTGCCCGAAGCGCGCGGGCGGCGGCGCGAGCGTCCCAACTTTCTGCGGTCGGGGCCCTCGCGCGCTCCCGGGCGGTCCCGGAGGTGCAGAGCGTGTGGGTGCCACCCGCGTGGAGTGTGGACGCGGGTGGACGCAGACCTCGCCTCCCGCACAATTCATTCCTCCCACTTGGTTCTCGGGACGGCAGTGTCCCGCGCGCAGTGCCTCTCTTTGGGCGGGCCGCGAACCGCGCGGTGCGGACACGCCTTACCAGGGCATCTTAGGTTGGTCCTGCGAGCCGGAGAGTTGTCTTGCGTGCGCTCCGCCGAGGCCTGGGTCCAGTGTGACACTTCAGGATGCTGATGCCCTGTTCTAGGTTCTGCTCCTCTGGGCCCTCGTCGGGTTAACCGTCCTAGCTCTGCGTCGTGGCTTTTACTGGCGCTCTAGATGCTTTTGAAGTCCTGGGCTTCTCGAATTAGCAAGACTCTAATAGGCCATTTCCTCTTAACCCCTTGCATCCCAGCAGGATCCCATTCAAAGGACTTTCGGAAGATTTGCTTGGCAATCTCCAATCTTCAACTATCTCGAAGGAATCTGGAAATTCACATACCTTAAGCACAGCGTGAGTCCATCCGTGACCACAGAGGCGTACTAAGGAGATGGGATAGTACTTAACTTTGTACAGTGTTTGACAACTCCTGTACGCCTGAATTATCTCCTTTGACCATCACTATGCAAAGGGATAGGCTTCCATTTTACCCTTTCAGCCGGAGAGGGAATTAAGCTCTAACAAATGAGGTGACTTGTTACAGGTCATCCCTCAAGCCAAGCTGGAACTAATGGCTAGTCCAGAGGGCCGGGCATCAGGCCCACTGATAAAAGTTTTGTTTGGCCAGCACGTTTTCTGGAAGTATGAATTCATTGCCAAAATTTTTAAATCCAGATTTTTGGCTTCCCTCTAAATATTGGGGTGGGGGGGACGTATGCTTCCTTTGAGCCTCTAGGTGCATCCGGCTGCTACTTCTGAGTAATATTTGTTTATTCCAACTTAACTGCTTGAGTCCATTTCATTACCTACTTGGCCTCTGTATTTAAGTTCTCCTCCCCACCCCGCCCTCCACCACCACTTGCCATGCCCCTTCATTACCGCATTACCTCTACAAATGTATTTAAAACGACAAGTGTAGGGGCGCCTGGGTGGCTTAGTCGGTTAAGCGTCCGACTTTCACTTAGGTCATGATCTCGCGGTTCGTGGGTTCGAGTCCCGCGTCTGGCTCTGTGCTGACTGCCTTCTCAGAGCCTGGAGCCTGTTTCAATCTGTGACTCCCTCTCTCTCTGACCCTCCCCTGCTCACGCTGTCTCTCTCTCTCTCCTGGAAATAAAACATTAAAAAAAATAAAAATAAAAAAATAAAACGACAAGTGTAAAGACCCTGTAAATATATGAAAATATGATCAAAGAACATGTCAAACCGAACGCAAGAGACATCACTGTATAAGATGATTGAAATATTAAAACTAACATCCTGCTAGTGCAACCTATACATTAGTACAGATCGCTTTGGAAAATGGCAATTATCTGCTAAAGCTGAACATAAGAATACACTATGATTTTGCAATTCCATGGAGTTCCCACATTGGATACAAATGTTTGCCAAGATGCATGTATTAAAGTATTCATAGCACTGTTTGTAATAGCCAAAACCTGGAAACCACCCCAAATGTCCGCCAACTGTACAAAGGATGGATAAAATGTTATATTCACACAATGATCCCTTATGCGGCGATAAGAATGAACATCTACAATCACACACAAGACAGAGGAATCCCATAAAACTTTTCACTTATATAAAGTTCAAAAACAGCCAAAAGCATTCTGTGCTGTTAGGAGTAAGGATAGTGGTTACCTTGGTGGAAGGATAGGCACTGGGAGCATGAGAAGGCTTCTGGGGGACTGGTCTTGTTCTATTCTTGATCAGGATGTTGAATATACAAAAGTGTTCAGTTGCCACATCTGAGCGGTACACATTTGATCGTGCACTTCTGTGTGGCATATTAAGATTTCAATAAAAACCTTTAAAGTGGTATTGAAACATGGGGCCCCTGGGTGGCTCAGTCAGTTAAACGTCCAACTCTTGATTTTGGATGAGATCATGATCTCACCTTTTGTGAGACTGAGCCTCAAGTCAGGCTCTGGGCCTACAGCCTGGAACCTGCTTGGGATTCTCTCTCTCCCTCTCTCTTCACTCCTTCCTCCCTCTCTCCCTCTCCCCTCACCTCTCTCTCTCTCTCTCTCTCTCTCTCTCTCAAATAAATAAACATAAAAAACATTTATACATTTATAAAGTGTGTTAAAACATTTGATTACAGGGGCACCTTGGTGGCTCAGCCAGTTAAGTATCCAACTCTTGATTTTGGCTCAGATCACAACCTCTTGGTTTGTGAGTTTGAGCCCTGCGTCAGGCTCTCTGCTGGCAGTGCAGAGCCTGTGTGAAATTCTGTCCACTTCTCCCCTCCTCGCTCTCTCTCTCAAAATAAATGAATGAACATTTTTTAAAAATGTGTATATGTATATAGTGTATATAAAATAATGTATAAATAATATATACTAAGTGTTCATTAGGTATCATTATCCTATAAATTAGTGGATGAAACTGCTGAGGAAGGCTTCCCATCTTTTACCATTGCCCATTCTTCGTGGAGATGTGGAGCAATACACTTTCTATATTTGTCACCTTACTACCAAGCCTGTAGCCCTGTGTCTTCTGGTAGAGAAACCTTTTTTTTTTTTTAATGTTTATTTTTGAGAGAGACAGAGGGAGGGAGAGGGGCAGAGAGAGAGACACACACACAGAATCTGAAGCAGGCTCCAGGCTCTGAGCTGTCAGCACAGAGCCCGACTCAGGGCTCAAACCCACAAACTGTGAGATCATGACCTGAACTGAAGTCAGACACCCAACCAACTGAGACACCCAGGTGCCCTGAGAAACCTTTTAAAGATGGGAATAATGAGACCTAAGGAAGCTAAGCTGTTTTACCTCTGGATAGTTAGGAAAAAAACATAAAATAAAATTCTTTCTTTTCTGTTCCATCATGTTGCCAACTAGTAACATCTTTTTTTTTTTTTTAAATGTTTTTTTATTTATTTCTAGGAGAGAGAGAGCGTGAGCAGGGGAGGGTCAGAGAGAGAGGGAGTCGTAGACTGAAACAGGCTCCAGGCTCTGAGCTGGCAGTCAGCACAGAGCCCGACGCGGGGCTCGAACCCACGAACCGCGAGTACATGACCTAAGCGAAAGTCGGACGCTTAACCGACTAAGCCACCCAGGCGCCCCACTAGTAACATCTTTTAATTCAGTTACAGGTGGGAAACTGAGGCCAGAAGCCTAAGCCAAAGTGATGTGGTTTGAAGTGTTGGGATTTGGAGCTGATGGCCAAGAAAGAATTCTTGAGAGGTCCTTGGTGCAAACAGGTGGTTGTATTAAAGCACAGGACAGGACCCTGAGCAGAAAGAGCTGCACTGGGGTTGTGACGGGTAACTGATTAATTCCCTTCAGGTTGGGAGGCAGTTATGGACAGAGTAACTCTCTAAGGTATTCTGGAAACAAGGTTTCCAGGACCTTGAGGTGCTAGCTGCTGTTAGGAAAAGGTCATTTATGATTATTTCTTAAAACCTGTCATGAGCCCTTTCAGATATATATCAGCGGGGGCGCCTGGGTGGCTCAGTGGTTGGGTGTCAGACTTCAGCTCAGGTCATGATCTTGCGGTTCATGGGTTCAGGCCCCGCGTTGGGCTCTGTGCTGACAGCTAGCTCAGAGCCTGGAGCCTGCTTAAGATACTGTGTCTCCCTCTCTCTCTGACCCTCCCCTGCTCACGCTGTCTCTCTCTCTCTCTGAAATAAATAAAACATTTAAAAAATTAAAAAAAGATGTATATCACTGGTCCATAAGGTTGGAGTATAATTGCCAACATGTATTTTGGTGACAGGAGTGGAGGAGTAGAGATGAAGGAAGTTTCCAAAAGAATTTTTAATTTCTTTTTTAATGTTTAATTATTTTTCAGACACACATACACACAGTGAGAGCAGGGGAGGGGCAGAGAGAGAGGGAGACACAGAATCTGAAGCAGGCTCCTGGCTCGGAGCTGTCAGCCCAGAGCCCGAGGTGGGGCTGGAACTCATAAAACCAAGATCATGACCTGAACCAAAGTGGGGTGCTTAACTGACTGAGCCACCCGGTTACCCAGTTACCCGCCGAAGGAATTTTATACATTAAACTAGATCTACAGGGTCCTGGGAGGGTCAGGACAATGTTAAGCTAAGATTCCCTTTTGCCCTTAGCAAAATGTCATCATCGAGGCAGCTGAGCTCCTAGAGGAAGGTCACTGACTGTTTCAAGGACTTGCCAAAGGTCTGTAGGCAGTAAGGAAATTTAATTTTTCATTTGTCTTTGTTTCCCACATCAAGAGGATCTCTGATCCAGAGAGTCACCAGGGTCTAGAGCAAACCAGGACAGCTTTTAGAATGTGAGTTTCCTGAGGGCAGGACGACTGCCTCTCAGTTTCTGGAGCTGAGCTCAGCACATAGTAGGTGCTTAGCAAGTATATGCAGAGTGAAGGGTGAGTGATTGAAAGCTTGCAATGGCTAGCACAAAAAGACAGGCTACTGGAAGGAAGGGGAAAAAAGCCTCAAGCTTCAAACAGGGAAATGGGTCTGTTTTCCAAGCCTCTGGCAGAGAGGAATGGAGCAGAGTGCTGTGAGAACCGCATCATTTTTTATTCACATGGGGCCCAGGCAGGAAAGGATCAAAACCCAGTCTGAGAACTTGAGAGTCACCCTGGGGCTCTGTGGTTTGGGAACTGCGGGGTCAACTTGAAGACTGCAGTGTGTCACTATTTCCATTACACATTTTTCAGGGTCCCCACTTGGCCAGTGAACTCAGAGTAGATTCTTGTGTCCTGGGGGGTGGGAGCAAAGGCTCAGAGAGGTAGGATTTTGTTAAGCTTAAGGTTGTTTTTCTCTCAAGCAAAGCATTAAGACCTAGGGAGTTCCTGGAGAAATGTTTTACCCTGCCAGCCTCAAGCGATTTGTCAATGGGCTGCGGTTATAAGGAAATTTAATTTTATCTGCAGTTTCTTTCTGCCTTTGTGACTCCCACCACCAGTTCCCTGAGCCCAGTTAGCAGTTCCTGTGTATTAATGCAGAATTTTAAAGTAAGGTCAATTTACTTGCAAATGAATGAAGGATAAGTGAAATGTGTGCCGAGTTGGGGAAGGGGGAGGGGGCAGGTGGGAGAAGTCCAGTTCTGGGACCATCCACCAGGCAAGGACTTTTGGATGCACCTCAAATGCAGTGTGCTGGCTCAGGAACTAGTCTGTCAGTGACAAGCAGTGGGGTAGGTGCACAGTCTTTGAATTTCTGGAAGTTCGCTCTGCTCAGCTGTTTGCACTTGTTTACTCGTGTTTCTAAGATGGTGTGAGAATATGATGGTGAAATGTACATGGGGGGACACCTGGGTGGCACAGTAGTTTGAGTGTCCGACTTCGGCTCAGATCATAGTCTCTCTGTTCGTCAGTTCAAGGCCCGCATTGGGCTTGCTGCTGTCAGTGCAGAGCACATCTTGGATTCTCTGTCGCCCTCTCTCTCAAAAATAAACATTAAAAAAAGAGAGAGAAATGGGGGTGCCTGGGTAGCTCAGTCCGTTAGGCGTCCGACTTCAGCTCAGGTCATGATCCCGCGCAGTCTGTGAGTTCAAGCCCTGCATCGGGCTCTGTGCTGACAGCTCAAGCCAGGAGCCTGTTTCGGATTCTGTGCCTCCTTCTCTCTCTGCCCCTGCCCCACTCACGCTCTTTCTCTTTCTGTCTCTCAAAAATGAATAAATGTTAAAAAAAATTAAAAGAGAAATGTACATGAAGTCACATTATTCCTTGATATGTTAGTTTTCCACTGTAAAGTGGTCTATAGTGGCTATAAGGAAATTTATAACATTATTGGTTGTATGGCTCAGTTATTTACTTGCTCTCTGAGCCATGGTTTCTTGGTCTGTTAAATGAAGATGAGATCCATCTGTTGGGTTATTGTGAGGATTAAGTGAAACATGTAAAATGCCTAAATCTTGTAGGCTCCAAAAGGCATTAGTTCCTTCCCATAGTGTTCTTTAGAGGAAGCCAGGTAATTTGGGTATTCAAAAGCACACAACATAAGGATTTTAGCAAAACGTTTCACTCTCTGGGGCATCCATTTGTCATCTGAGACAGGTGTGTATTCATACACAGCTCAAAATTGGTCCTTCACAGGATGTGATTCTATGTTAGCCTCACTACAGTCAGATGCAGGCTTCCAATCGCTATCGCCACCCTCTTGGAAGCTTGTTAAGATTTTTTTAAAAAATATTTTTATTTATTTCTAGGAGAGAGAGAGAGAGAGACAGCATGAGCAGGGGAGGGTCAGAGAGAGAGGGAGATACAGACTCTGAAATAGGCTCCAGGCTCTGAGCTGGCAGTCAGCACAGAGCCTAATGCGGGGCTCGAACCCACGAACCGCGAGATCATGACCTAAGCAAAAGCTGGACGCTTAACCAACTAAGCCACCCAGGTGCCCCAAGATTTTATTTTACCTTTCTAAGAAAACATTTTATTTATTTATTTATTTATTTATTTATTTATTTATTTATTTAGAGAAGAGAGCACACATGCAGGTGAGGGGCAGAAAGAGAATCCCAAGCAGGCTCTAGGTTCAGCGTGTGGAGCCTGATCCGGGCTCCATCTCAGGACCGTGAGATCATAACCTGAGCGGAAATCAAGTTGGAGGCTTAACGGACTGAGCCACCCAGATGCCCCTATTTTACCTTTTTAAGTAGGCTCCACGCCCAACATGGGGATTGAACCCAAGACCCTGACCCAGCCACCCAGGAGCTCCCCAGAGCTTTTAAATATGGACATAGTCTCCCCAGGAAGATAAGTGATACCAATGGCACTTTCCTGGCCCCAGGCCTGTGACTCTTGGGGTCCTTGGAATCTAGTGCCTGCCTTCAGTGAGGGGATGTCCTACCCTCCCTACCCCGGGCACTTTCTAGAGGCTGCGTCAGTCTAGCCATGTTGTCTGGAAACTTCCACTGCTCCAGCCTGTTCCTGTTCCCCCCAGTCTTTGCACCTCAAGTCCCTGAGACACTACTATATATGGCCTAGTGTTTTCTCTCCTGTGATTCCTCCAGCCCTTCAGCCTGGGTCCTCCCCATTCCAAGCCCAACTCAGATCTTCCATTCCTTGTCCAGTTCCTTCTTAAGCATCCCCTCCCTCACAGCACTCCTTAGCTCAAGGCAAAAGAGCTGCTGGCCCTCTTTTCCCTGTCGGGTCCCTCAGCTCCCTGAGGCTATATATAGCACAGCTGTGCCTCAGACTGTATAGCGCTTCAAGTCCTAGCCACCTCTCCTCCTAACAGGATAGGGAGACCGAGCCCAAAGCTTCTCGTTAGGGTGAGGAAGCCAGAGAAAGGAGACTGGAGAGGGACAGGGGTGTGCTGAATTTGGACCACCCAGAACGTGGTAACCTTTCCATCTGTTGTCAGAGACTTTCCACTTCTCCCCCAGCCTCTACCCCTCTACCTGCTTCTTGACACTTGCTCATTTTGGAGGAGAGGGGCAGGCAGTATGGAGGAAAATTCTAACAATTATCTTATTTAACTCTTACACTGATCCTATGCGTAGATGGTACCTCTGTTTTACAGACTCAAAAGAGGTTGAGTGGTATAAGACCAAGTATTGAGAGAATGCTCATGCAGCTAAGTGACCCCACGTCTGACTCTGTCCTACACTCCAGATCCATAAAGTCTGTCTGCATCACTCAGAGACCCCTCTAAATTATTATGTCTAGGGGTGTGATGTGACCTGGAAGGGAAAAAAAAAGGTTTACTAGGTAAATTACTATGTAGAAATGCTTAAATAGAAATAATTATTGAAGACTTGGCCCACTGACAAAAATGTTATCTTAATTTATCTTATCTGTTTACTGAAGCAGGGCTCTACAGAAATCTCTTCCTTGAAGTTTCAGTTACTGTGTGTTCTCAGAAGTAAAAAGCAATTTTATTTCTTTTATTTCAAGACTTTGCCTCCACTTTATAGTCCTCTGATTAGTCCAGAGCAGTGAGATTTGATTTTAGGAACAGTTACAATCTGGTTCTTTTTTTTCTGTCACTTATTGTAACCTGGAACAAGACATTTAACCCAAGCCTCAGTTTTTCACCTGCGAAATGGGAATAATACCTTACAGAGTTGTGAGGATGAAATAAAATAACCTCTTAAAGCAATTAGCACACTTCTTGCCCCATAGGTGCTCAGAAAACCATAGCAACTATGTGTATTATTATTGTCTCAATTCTGGGCTGAGATGCTGTAGAAGGATCAACAGAATCCCAACAAGGGAGAACTTTTCAATGAAATTGAACTTTGCCCTCTACAGCTTGGCCCCTGTTCTACAAAGGGCTTAGAGTCGATCCTGATCCTTGCTCTGTGTCATCCAGGCATTTCCAACCGCCTGCCTCTGGCCTACACCATCCATCTCTTGAGAATTCAGGCCACCGCTGGGACCAGGAGAGGCAGCCCGGGAGAGTGCGTGTGAATGACTGGGAGGAGAGTTCCCATGGACGCTGGGGATACATGAAGGCCCTGGGGAGCTGCTGTGACCCTGGGTCTCTCCCTAGAGCAGTGAGTGCTGGAGAGAGAAAGGAAAGACAGCAGCTGCTGGACAGACTTCCAGTGCTGTAAAGCCCCTTTAGGAGAGGCACATGGGGCTGAGTATCTGGGGAAGGAACAAAGCCCTGAGATGGAGTGGGACTCTCCACAGAGTACTCCAACTTTTTGCTCGTGCTTAGCAAGAAGGTACTTTCCTCCTCCTCTCCGAACCCAGGATGCTGAGGTTGTTTGGCGTTCCTAAGCTTCAGACTCAATGGAGAGGGCTTCTGCTTGGCCACCCCCTGGGAAATAGACCAGAAGTACAAACTCTGGAGCCAGTGAGACCTAGATTGAGATGCCGACGCTGCCACTTCCCAGCTGTGCACCCTGGATCTCATTTAGCCTTTCTGAAGTTCCATTCCTTCCTTACTGTATGGAATAGTTGAAAGGTCCAAAATGCAAATACCTCAAACAGAATAGGTGATTATTCTGGCCACTTGTCACCTCTGTCCCTAGTGAACATCACCCCCCTCCCCACACCCCTCCCTTACCGCCTGCAGTACAAAGATCCCTGGAGATGCAAGGTAGTCCTAGTGGTTACAAACTGGATGAATCTCCCTGGTCGAGAAAGCATCCTTGAAAAGGATCAAGACCAAGACCAGAGGGCCCGCTTCCCACAATTGGGCATTTTATTTACAGGCGACCAGGCGACATTGTTCAGGAGTGTTTGAAGCAGTAGAGCTTGGGGGAGAAGCCAGGGTCTCTACCCTTCCTTGCCTGGGTGTTTCGATCTCAGGTCTCTGTATCAAGTCCCTGTCTGATCCAGCCCCTTACATCCACAGACTGAATCTAGTTAAGGGCTCCCGCCGTGTGATCTTTCCTTACTTTCCAGCGCTTGGAGCTCTGGCCTGCAACTCAGCAAATGGGGGGTTAAGGCTGATGCCCTGGCCTATCTCCTCCCCTCTCCATTCTGGACTTCAAAGTCCACAGAAAGCTTGCTTCCCTGACCCCACAGTGGCAGCTCCATCATCATCAGCTCCTGGCCAGTTCAACACAGCACATGCTGAACTCTGGCCGGGCTGCTCGCACTCTACTTCCTAGCCATCTCCTAGGGTAAGCACCAGCATGCTGAGAAAGTGTGCGGCCAACAGTCCTTGCTCCTCCAGAAGAGAGGCACCTAGAGGTCGCTGCATGCAGGGGGTCTGTCTCACAGGTTAGACCTAGAAGGTGCCCTGCAGGGAGGAGCCCTGGTCTAAGGACCAGGACTCTGGGACTCTGTCTAGTTTGTATTAGAGCAGATGTTTACTAGGGTTTAGCAAGTAGAGCAATAGGGGTCACAAGCCCAGGGAGGGAGCCAGGGGCTTGGCAATCGGAGAAACCTGGCAAGAGATGGAAACGGGAGCAGTTCAGGGACCAGAATTAGTTCTCTTAGTATTAATGTCCACAATCTATGCTAAATTATTCACAAATCAATGTCCAATTATTTCAGTTTTTGGCTCTGGTGACTCGGTAACCAGTGCCTGAACAGTCTGGGATGATTTGGCCTTCTGGGGCCAGACCTGCTCTGTGGGATCTGTAGCTCCCTGAGGAGCAACCATCACAAATTCAAGGCCAAGGCCACTGGGGGTCCCAAGGCTCAAGGTCTGTTCCTCTCACCCTCATCTGTGGACTTTTCCAGCTGCTTTTCTTGACCCAAGGATCACATTGGGATACAGATGGAAGGAGTGGGAAGCAGGGAAAACAGTGAAGTCAGAATGAGCGGGGGAAGAGGCAAACATCAGGAAGAAGAGATGGAGAAATGGTGGTAGCGGTCCAGCCATAGGAGACAGGACACTCGGGACATCTTCTCAAGTAGGGGCTGTGTTGGGCATGGTAAGAGAGGTTCTTAGCAGGCAACTCCCTCATTTCTCCCCCAGACTGCAGAGAATTGGGAGTTCTTATTGTGGGGTGCCTCCTTCTAGGACTGGGCTGAAGCCTCAGAGCCCCAGCTACTAACATCTGGGGCCAGGATCATGTCTGCTAACAAAGGCTGGTGGGTGCCACCTGAAGGCGAGGACAGTGTGTCTGAGAAGTTCCTGAGGAAGACCAGGGAATCTCCGCTGGTGCCTATAGGTGAGTGGGAGCAGGGAACGAGGGGCCTTCTCTCAGGGAAGGTCCCCAGTCCTTTCAAATGAAAGGACCTGAAGCAGAGGACTCAAGTGTCCTGCCCATGGAACAGTCAACAGCTAGGAGAGGAGCGAACCGGCCGCAAAGGTGCCAAGGGAAGAAGGGCCACGCCTGACAAGGAGTCTGGACGGGTGGAGGTGGTGGCCAACTGACAGCCTGGGGTGCGGGGACACGTGGGGCATCAACACCTACATCACGACGGGAGAGAGCAGTTCGGGGGCGCCCAGGGCTTCCTTTCTCAAGGCTCTGGGAGAAGAGAAAAGTAGCTGCAGGAGCCAGCAGTCGTTGGAGGAGGGTCCGGAGCAGAGCAAATGGGGGTGGGGGCGGGGGCCCATGTCGGGCTGTTCGCATGGAGAGGGCTCGCTGGAGGTAGGCAGCCACTCTGAAAACGCCGTTGAGAGGAAGCAACTCCGTACTCTGTCAGTAGTCCCCCATCTCCCACCATGAAGCGGCACAGAAGTAGGGGTTCGTCCAGATGCCCAGCCTGCCCAGCCTGAGGAGGGTCTCACCAGGGGAGCCAACTGATCGGTGACTGAGGCCCAAAGGTCCTGTTCTCTGCCTACAGGTGTGGGGGGCTGCCTGGCAGTGGCAGCATACCGGATTTATCGGCTGAAGGCTCGTGGTTCCACCAAGATGTCCATACACCTGATTCACACCCGAGTGGCAGCGCAGGCCTGTGCCGTGGGTGCGGTCATGCTAGGTGAGGGGCTGGTGGGGACCGCAGAACGAGAACACAGCTAACGAGGCAAAGTCCGGCTGTGACCCTTGACAGTTAAGGGACCACAATTTTAGTCCCCGTTGCCTATGCCGGGCTCCACAGCAAGCCCTGGGTGAAGCCCTCAAACCAAGCCATTTTCAGGGTTCCCTGCTTAGCCTCCTGTCCCCGGCCTGCAGGGATGGGGCACAGTTGGTTTCGTGGCAGCTTGTCCTAGAGAGGAGAGAACATGTGCTGAATTTCCCCTCCTCTCTGGGCCAAGGGGCAGACAGCTACTTACTAGCTGTGTGACCGTGGACAGGCCCCTTTCTCTGAGCTTCGGTTTCCCCGTGTGCAACACGACGGTAAGCACCCTGGCTTGGCGACCTCGCGGGCTGCTGTGGGGTTTCTCAGAGAGGGAATCCTCGCGGAAGGGCTCCGCGGGGAAACCGGACCCTTAGGGGAACGGCTGCAGTCAGACTCCCAGGAGGGCCAGACGCTGGGGGCAGGGATCAGTGTGACAGGCTGTCTTCCCTTCTCCTTCCTGCAGGTGCTGTGTACACGATGTACAGAGACTATATCAAGAGAACGGCACAGGATGCTGGGGAGAAGTAGGATTCCTGCCGGGCCCGGGGGCAGCGAGAGCCTCTTCCGTCAATCCCTGGTACGTTCCTAATAAAGCCATTTTGAGGAAAATGAAGTCTCTTCTTCACACAGGGGAGAGCAGAGTTAGGGACCGGTAGTGGTGTGTGTGTGTGTGTGTGTGTGTGTGTATGCTTGTGTGGGCACGTGCACATGTGTGCACAGGCTTAGAGAAAGGGCTGGAAATCAGAGTTCTGGCCCCCCAGCTCCAGGGGCAATGGCCTCCAATCCCAGAAGCCCAACACTTCCCAAGCCACCCCAGGTGGTACCCACCCAGGGGCAGCAAGGTAGAGAGGACCGGGTGGCAGGTGCAGGGTACGGCCGGCGAGAAGGTGGCCTTGATGGTCACAGAGGACTGGACTAAGAGGCAGGCGTCCCTCCCACCACAGGCCGCTGCCCTGGGGACCCAGGCAGGAAGACTGCAGCTGGGAGAAGAGAGCGGGAAGCCTCACGGGAGACGACATATATTCATTCAGAACCCAAGTGCCAGGACCAGACTGTGCTGGAGGAAAGGGGGCGACGGGTAGGGATGAAAGGAACAGAGCAAGGCAGAGGTCAGAATGTTCTGTTCACTAAAAATCCGTGTCTAAGGTCAAACTTGTAAAAAAAAAAAAAAAAAAATCCATGTAAATCCTGAAGACAGGGCCCCTTGGGGTTAAACACTTTGTCCCCTTCTTCTTCTCTGAGCCCGAGCTCCTCTCTGTTCCCTGGGAATGGAGCCAGGCAGAGGCCGCAGAGGAACCAGGAGGCCAAATACTCCTCCCTCACTGGGACTCTGGGTTGGAGGCTCTGGGGTTGTTAAAAATGGTCACGGCAGCTCCCAGAAGCTCTCTGGCAACACGGAGTCCAGGTCGCACCAGGTCCCAGCTTCCAAGTCCACGGTACGGCCCACTGCAGGGAGCGGGGGCTGCCGGGAGTCCCGACACTCACATAGGGTAATTGAGCACAACATCCTGCTTGGCGAGTTCCAGCAACATGGGGTCATCGAAGAACTTGCTGATGCTCACATCCTCACTCAATCCCTGCAGAGAGTGGGGACAGATGCAAGAAACAGCCCTATGTGGTAGCCGACTGAGCTAGAGGCCGCCCGACGCCTGTGCTGGGGTGGGAGGCTGGTGGGGTGAAGCTGTGGACCAGCTATTTCAGGGGTCAGCGCTGGGAAAAGAAGCTGCTTCCTTCCTGGGTCCCGGGTTTGGTGGCCCGAGGCCTGGACAGACTGCCCCTCTCTACACTGTACGGTAAACTATTCTCAGTCTTTGGGAGAAAGGTCCCAAAGGAAGAAATGAAGAGAGATCTAACTCCTGCCAAGAGCCCTGGGAACTGAGGGCTGGCAATGGGCCACAGGGACACATACCTTCCTGCGACGGGTTTTGATCATGAATTCCCGGGCCAGGTGAGGAGCTGGCTGTGGCTCCAGGGGGCGGATGACTATGCTCTTGTCCAGAGGATCACCGGGTACAATCTGAAAGGCAAAGTGGTTTCCAATGGTCCAGAATTTTTCTCTAGGATGTTGGAAATCTCACTTGGGATCAGGACGGGGAACAGACCAGAGAAGACTGGCCTTGAACAGGCGGGAGGCCACACTGGCCAGCCTGCACCATTTTCTCACCTGCCAATGGTGGAAGACAGACAAGGAAAAGGCCTGCCCCTGGGTGTGAGTCCGTAGATCGGTCTCAAAGCCAAAAGAGTCAATGGCGGGGATGAAAGCCTTGATGGTATAGAGAGGGGAGCCTGGGATGGGTGCATCCTGAGTCACATGCCCCCTGCGACAGAAAAACAAAGGGTGAGTCCCTCGTCCTACATAGACCAAAAGCGGAGAAGGAATCTGGCCCCAAATATACCACAACACAGAGCTACCATCAAAGAAATAACCACAATCGTGCTACAGTGGGCAGAAAAGGCTTACAGGCCTCAGTGTCATTTCCTACGGCAATCAAAGGGGTAGTGACCGCTACACAGAGAGTGGAAACACTGGAGGGACAAGGTCCTACAGACATCCCCCCCACGGACACACTTCAGTACCTTCCCTGGAGAGTTCTCCAAGGAGAGGGGGCCCAGAAGAAATTTCAAATTTGTATCTGCAGTGAACCAGGGGTCTGCCTCGGTCCTTTCCTACCTCCTTCTAAAAACCCAGCTCATCAGGTTCTAGGAGCAGAGACCGTATAGGAGGCCCGCCCCCTCCCCCACGGAGACCCCGTGCTTCTTGCTGTGCTCCTGCTCTCTGTGCCCTCCCTAACGTGCCCACGGCTCACCTGCGCCTGGCCAGGACGGTGTACACAGCAGAGACACAATCCGCAGGGGCCTGGACCTCCACGAAGTAGTAAGGCTCCATCAGACGAGGAGTGGCCTGCAACAGGGCAAGAAGAAAGGCTTCCTTAGCTTGGGCGAGGCTGAGGCCTGAGGACCTGGATGGAGAAAAAGGCTGCAAGGACTGCAGTCTTGAGGCCCGCGAAGCTGGAGTCTCCCTGTAATGCCCAGGAACAAGTCAGCCCCGCTCACGTACCATGAGGAAGGCAGAATAGACGACTCTCCTGGCCGTAGGGATGATCTGGCCGCCGCCCCGGTGCAAGGGTTCCTGGGCAACCACTGCATCCAGGATCTTAAACTTGACATTTCGAATCACTGAAAAGGAGATGGATCTGGTGATCAAGGAGTGGCGCCGGTGCTAGTCAAGGGCCCAGGGGCAGGGCAGCACAGAGCCTCTAGCAGCATGGTGGCTGTCTTGAGGCCACACCCACAGAAGATGTGGAATGAAATCACCCTGCAGATGGGTATCCTATCTCATAGGATACCAAGCCTGCAGCAGAGGACACAGTTAGGCACCCCATTCCTTGTGTTTGTTCCAGGCCCGTGCTCAGGCATCATAAAGCTTCCCCAGAAGTTTATGTGCTTATTTTTTTTTTTGGTAAATTTTAATTGGAGGTAAATTCTAGGAATTGCACCTCCCTTCCCACTAAATCCAATCTGGTCTACAAATCACTCCGATCCCATCTTCCTCTTTATACCTCTCCTCAAGCACATTCCTTCTCAGGACTGAGAAGCAAAGGTCAGCCTAGAAATGACTTCACTTCTGGGATGTCCCAGGCAATAGCACTCGGTGGGGGAGGGAGGAGAGGAGAGGAAAGGAGAGAGAAAAGGAAGCTGACTTAGGACACGGAATGGCCCCATGTGGCCCAAACTGCTTGTCCTGGTGGGTCCCTTACGTGAGCCCGCCCCACCTTGTGTGTCTGGGCACAGGGACCCTAGAGGGCTGAAGAGGGGCAGGCTGAGGCACTGGCAGAACTTACACTCATCGCAGAGGGGGCCCTCCCTGGTTCCCCACTGGAAACCTTGAACGATGCTGTCCTTCACTGAGCCGAGAAGAGCCTTGTCCACCTGCACAAAACATGAGGGCCCGTGAGGAGTGACCCTGGCCAACAACCAGAGTTTAGAGGGCAGAGAAGGTAGGTACACTGGTAAGAAGATTCACCAGCAGACACAAAATATTTCTGGGAAAAGAAGTCCCCCTTGTAGTTTCTCCCACTCCACAGCAGGGAAACCACCGCGCGGCCCATTAGGTCTGCTGTACCTCAGAGGGCAGGGTATCGTCTACCAGGATGTTGGGGCCGGTGGCATCGGGGCCAAAAGCCCAGATAGAACGTGCAGCCAGCAGATCCCAATCGTACTTGGTCTGGAAGAATTCTCCCAGTTTCTTCCTAGGGGAAGGAGGAGGAAATGGGAGTTATCTGGCAGCCCTGCAATTTCTGCCTCCTGGGGTCACAGGTCCTGCCTTCCCGGGGGACAGTTCGCCTCCCAGAAGGATACGTGGTAACAGAGATGGGGGAGGTGAGCCATGGCGCCTCATCTCCCTTCAGGCTTGAAACCAGAGCCACATTCTCACCTGTTCCACGTGATCTGGACTACCTCATTCTCTATGTCCTCGGCGAGGCCCTTCTCAAGAGGCTCAGCAATCATGGTGATCTTATTCCTAGTCAGAAAGGAAATGAGTAATGAGGAGGACCAGCAGGACTCGGAGAAGGGTCATTCCTGAAAAAAGTGAGGAGGCAGTAACATCAGTAAAAGCCAGAGCGGCAAACTAGAGAGAAAGGGTTCATCTTCTGTCTTCCTTCATTTGAATCTACCACTCTGTAAAAAAGTAAGGTCTCGGGGCACCTGGCTGGCTCAGTCAGAGAGTATACAGATCTTGATTTTAGGGTTGTGAGTTCGAGCCCCACGTTGGGTGCAGAGAATACTTAAAAATAAAATCTTTAAGAAACCTCCACAACAATAGTGGAGCTCCTGGTAGGGCAAAACTGTAAGATAATCATATTATATGGAGAGAAGCGGCAATCAGGATACTCATCCTTGGGGAACCAATGGCAAAGAATTTCACACCATCAAGTCTACAGGTATGAGATGAGGGATGAGAGCACTGGATAAAAGTCAAGCACCCAGGGGCGCCTGGGTGGCTCAGTCAGTTAAGTGTCTGACTCTTGGTTTCAGCTCAAGTCATGATCTCCCAGTTTGTGAGTTCGAGCCCCGCGTCAGGCTCTGTGCTGACAGCTCAGAGCCTGGAGCCTGCTTCAGATTCTGTGTCTCCCTCTCTCTGCCCCACCCCTGCTCACACTCTGACTCTCTCTCTCTGGCAAAAGTAAATAAACATTAAAAAAACAAAAACAACACTGTAGCATCCAAAGCCCCCGTCCTGAGACTTAAGGAGTCTCTATTTCCACAGTGTTTGCGGTTGGGGTGGTGTTGGGGGGAGGAGAGAGTGTCCCCTGTCAGTCCCAGGGTCACTCTGACACCCAGCTCACTTCTTATTGGGTGTTTCAGCAAAGCACTTGAGGGAAGATGTCTCCACCACCGTCTCACAAAACGTGACCACAGGATCAGCCACCTGGGAAACAGGATGAATTGTTAGGTAGGGTCTAATTTTGTTGGAAGGACAACCTTCTGCCCGAGGGAATTCTGAGGTTCCCTTGGCACTACCTCTGAGACAACCCTGTCTTAATCCGCATCAGCAACGAGTACAACAGTGGGCAAAAAGTCCATACCCAGCAC